CCCGGCGCTTACCTAGGTCAAACGAGTTTGAATCCTAGAACGGGCTAAAAGTTCGAGTTTGTTGTCGATGACGTTTTTTCTGATGTGTATTATTTTTGCCTAAGCAAATTCATTAGAAACAGTAACTACCTTAAATTGTTATTCTTTCTTTGTGGTATTCTGTACGATACGGGTCATTTCATGTACTGATTCAAAGTGAGTTGTCCTATTTTGTTGATGCTGTTCTCATTTAATAAATGCAAACATCAAGTTATTTGATGATCTGAGGTTTCCACACCTTCTCTATTGCTTGCTGTTGTTCATAGTTTGCTCTTTATTTGTTTGCATTATTTGCACCTCTTCAATTCCATATAAGGTTGATTCGATGAGCCATGTCTAAAAAGAAGGAAAAGGAAAGAGAGGAGAAGAAAGCTGAAGTTGGTCAGAAGCGGAAACGAATGGGGAAATCAAGCAATGAGAGCAAAGCTAAGGTACTCTCATGGCACTTCAAAAAATACCTGGTAGTCCTTATCAAATAATTTCAGATGTCGAAGAAGGATGAGGGAGAATCGGAAAGGGTTGAAGTGAAAGAAACGTATTCTTTACAATTGAAAAAGATCAATACTCATTTAACGTGTGGTTTGTGTAAGGTTAGTATTCACTGCTTGTGCTTTTTAAGATTTCTTAATATGATTTATCTCTTTCCTTATGTTAATTCATTCTTTTTACTAAGTCACTTTGCGGGCTTTATCCTTGAGAGAATAAGACTTGGACATGAGCCTCTTGTATGAACTTAAAATGCAAAATTTTTCGATTGAACACCGCGAAGTATGCTCTGATTTCTTTTGATGTTGGTATATATTGCCGTAGTATTGTCTTGGAATCTTCTAATCATACTAACACACCAAAAAATTCTCTTTCTTCTATAATTCGCCATCATTGCTCTTGGTTCAGGGCTATTTAATAGATGCAACTACGGTCATCGATTGTTTGCACACCTTCTGCAAAAGTTGCCTTCTAACTTATTTTGAAGAGGAAGATAATTGCTGTCCCACTTGCGAACAGTTGATTCATCAAAGTCATCCTAGCCATTACGTGGCGTTTGATCGAACAATGCAGGATATAGTGTACAAATTAGTACCTGGTAGGTTTTATTTGGAAAGCTTTTTGTGGAGTTTTGCATGAGAACTGGATGTTACATATTAGGCTTGCTGGAAGCGGAACGAAAAAGGCGTCTTGAATTTTTAAAAGACAAGAAACGAGAAGCAGGAGAAAATGTTGAAGAGGAAGAGGAGGAAGCGGAGAAGAAGGTGTTTAATCATCATTTTATTGCACTTCCCTATTTTATCTTTATTGTATTTGAAACAAATATATTGGGACAAATTTCTTTATCTAATAATATGAGTAGCAAGTTCAGGAAGAGTCTTCACAAGGAACGAATCGGTGTTTCGAAGGAGAACCGGGAATCTCTCATCATCGAAATGATGAGCATGTAAGTTATCATCAAGGAGCTACAGTTTCCTCTAATTTTACTTTGCTCAAAAGGAATCTTCATGTTTCTTTCTTGCTTTTATCCTTCCCATTCCTGCCATCTATGCTAGCTAATTTTA